CAATTGTTAACCAATTAGACAGGGTATGTTATGCCAAAGGAGAATCACTGGGATCCATCCTGGGAGAGTGGTGTGTCAATGGAGGGAAAGACACTGCCAAAGCACAAGAAGCAGTACGTTCTGCTTTTGACATAATGGTAAAAGAGAAGGGACCACGTGTAGCATTTGCGAAGTTGCTCTCAGAAGAGACCCTAACTGCAAGGGCCCAATGCATGTGCGTTCCTGATTGGGTGTTTGTATTGTTTAAGCTTAAATCCAGAATCTCAGATAAAGGCTGGGAAGACTTCACCAATTTGACAAAACTTGGAAGAACAGGGGTAAGTTATGGCTTAAGTTACATTCTACATTGTTAATGTTGTTACCCCTGTGGCCAAAATTGCTCAATTTGAAAAGTGGAGAAAGGAAATTATGTTAAAATATCAAGCAAATTCATGTTGCGGGATCATGTCCTTAATTCTTATGACAAGCTTGTTATATAAATAGTTGATATTCATCTCTAGATCTGGATGAGCAGTTTCCCAACAGCAACATCCTTACCACAAGGTCCAGATCTGCCATTGTGTGCAGTACCTTTTACTGCTTTTAGTGAACTTACATGTAGCTCATTTTAAGATAAGAATTCCAATCATTCTCCTTTTTACTTCATTACTTTATGTAGTCATTGCAGTACTTAGCTCTAGCCTAGTTTATTGTTCAAAAAACCCATTCTTAGAAATTAGAAATTCAGTACGTATTTATTACATGTAATATCTTGCTTTATTTAATGATCACAATTTAATACTTAGATATATTTGCTTTATTATTATATTTTTTTAAAGAAAAAAGCTGATGAGCCCATATTCCTGACCAAAAACAACATTGTGGCATTAAAACAAGAGCAGTTTAAAGTGACTAGAAGATTGGTTGGTCTTCGGAAGCTTCCACCTGATGTACCAGGGTATGAAGTGAGTCTTCCTAATATTGTCACTTGGGCCATCAGAGAAATGTGGCTGCATGGTTTTGTTTCTTCTG